TGAAAATAGAGCACTTGTTTGTGTGCTCAGGCTTGTAAAGAAATTAGGCTAACTAGTGGAATATAGTAATACCATGAAAAACATGCCCTCTTGAATGCCTTTTTGTCCAGTTGTTGAGATTTGATGTTTGTGGGGGAATCCTAAGTATCTGTGAAAGGACACTTCTCTGTATTTAAAACACCACCACAACCATTGCTGCCAAGAGAAGCTCACTCTTCACATCCGAAGTCCCCCCAAGTTTCTCTTAACTTCCCTACCTTTTCCCCTCCTTTATTTTCTCCATCACACACCCTGACTTCAACTCAATGTGTATGACTGCAAGTCAGTAAAACTATCCCAGGCCCCTCTCTCCTGAGCTGCCGGGTTGTGTAACCAACTTTCTTACAGATGTTCTTGCCTGGATTTTTTGACTGACACTTCAGACCCAACACATATACAGCTGGTCTGATCTCTCTCGCCCAACTGGCTCCATGTTTATTTTTTTACTCTGTGTTTCAGTTAATGATTCCACCATTTGCTCAGTTGTCTAAGCAAAGAACTGGAGGGTCATTTTAAGTCTCCTTCTCACTCTGCACCTTTACTGCTGTCATACCTGAATATCTTTTGAATCCATTCTCTGCATCTTATCACTCTCCTGCTTAATCCCTGCAGTAACCTCCCAGTGGCTGCAAAGTTAGGTTCAAAGGCCTTCATGGTATGTGCAAAACACTTCATCCAGCTTCATACACCTGCTTCTGCCTTGGACCCCGTCCGTCTTCCAAGTCAAATCCAACTGCTCATGGCTCTGAAAATGGCCACGTTCTCGCCTGCTTCTGTTCTTTCAACCTTGGTGTTTCCTCTACCTGGGGCCTTTTCCTTGAAAGTCTGGCAATGATTTCTTCTTAATCCTGTGGCTTGACTCCCACATGTCTTTCACCCCTACCACTGGCAGGTTTAGAAAGTCCTTTTTCTGAGTCTTCAAGGCTCCTTGATGCAATCATGTTACAGCAAACACCACCTTTCTGTCTGTGCTTGTCTTCCACATTAGACTGTGAGCACCTGTGGGCCGGGGACTGATGCTTCACCACATTCATAACTCACCAGAAGCTCAGTAAATGCTGGCTGAGTGAATAAAGAGGAGTAGAGGTGCTTGTGGCTTGGAAGGGGAGAGAGTGAGGATCAGAAACTATGTGCAGATTTTATGCAGAATACTGAGGTTTTTAGAAAGTTTTCCCCCTTCTCCATTTCTGGTGGCATTGGCCTTCCCCTTTCACAGTATGTCTGTGGCAGGGGGTCTGCGGTACTTGCTGAGAGAGGCCTCCTGATTTATCCGGCCCTACATTGTGTTCTTGTAAGGATTACCAAGATTGAGACACGGTCTCCACGCTAAAAAAAAGGAGGAACTGAAACCAAGTCATGAAATTCCTGTATGGCAGTGAAATGCAGAATGGATTGCTGCTTACAGCGTGAGCACAGCAGGCAGAGGCGGGGGTGGGGGTGGTAGGCAGGGGCTTTGGGGAGAAGGTGGGAATGGAACTGGATGGAGTGAGAAAGTCATCTGCTTTTCCAGACGCCCATCCTTCACTTTCTAATGAGTTTCTTATCTCAGAGGCTGTTCATAAGGGAAGTCCTTTGCTGACATTTTTGTTCACTTAACCAGAACAGCCATTTTTCTCTTAGATGATTTCTCTGTTTTTGTAGGTGCCTGTTAAAGGTCATACCTCGGGGGGAGGTC